AAGGAAGGAAGCAAGGAAGGAAGCAACAAAGCATTCAATAGAGGCTGCAAGGTAGTTTCAAAGAATTATTCAAATTTGAACCTTGCACCCTTGAAAGTGGTGAGCAGCGTCCTTTATTCTTTATTGTACTTAATTCCTATCATTTTTCGACTCCATTCAATCCACACCTTGGATACGCCCTTAAAACTAACAGTAGAGTAAAGTTCCCCGTCTACATCTCCTCCATCCTAAATTACCTCTGCTGGTGTTCAATCCACCCCTGGATCCGCCCTTAAAACTGACAGTAGAGTATAGTTCCCCCGTCTACATCTCTTCCATCCTACATTACCTCTGCTGGTGTTCGATCCACCCCTGGATCTGCCCTTAAAACTAACAGTAGAGTAAAGTTCCCCCGTCTACATCTCCTCCATCCTACATTACCTCTGCTGGTGTTCGATCCAGTTCCTCGGCTATTGCCCGTCGTTTGTTATATTCCAAAGAGTTATAACTTTCGCAAAGGTCACCGTCCATCACGTTCTATGATAAACAAGAGACAATTCATTTAACAACTGTCGTTTTGGCCTTACGTAGAAAAGATAATTCTAGTTAGGGATTTATACCTAACGAAAACAACTTTTGAAGTCTTTTGAAGTCTCGGCTAAAACAATTTCAGAAACACTAATACGACACTATGATTGATTAAAGTCCATAGAGTGCACACAATATATCTATGAAAAAGTTAACTAGCAAAATTGTACAAATTAGTGCAAAGTTTCGTAGGTTTACGGTTTACTGAACTTATAAGACCTTACTAATTTTTGGAAATTTTAAATTTCTTTCTTCCCCTCTCAACACGCCATTATATRTAAATATCTTGGCCAACCCTGCAGGGGGCTTTTAATATTTTTTAAATGGGATAAAAACGATACCTTGAACAGGAAATGGCAATGACAATTAGAAACCACTAGCGGTAGCAATTAAATAATGTTCAAGAAAACGACTGAAATGGTCTTTAAATTAGACAGTTAAAAGTATAAAGCAATATAGCCAGGGCGGTCGCTAGGAAATGCATAATTCCCTCTTGGCACCCACTGTTTCGGAGGCAGAAATTAATATTTTTGACCAATCAACGAGGTTATTTCCCTTGAATGCCATAGAGCAGTGTATCTAAGTTGTCAAGCTTTATGGACCATAAAACTACTAAGTGATCGTACAATTATAGACGCGATGGCAAAAAATTGCCGCAAGACATTCTCTTTTCCGTCCAAGATGATTTATACGAAAATTTCTTCCATCGTCTAAAATTATAGCGCAGTTAATTAAGACTGATTTTAACTAGCAATTCCTGCGTGAAACTAGGAGTAAAAACCCCTCGTCATTAGCGTAAGCACAAGCCAAGAAAGAGAAAACCTTCCACTCGCGTCGGTAGTGCGGAAAATCAGGATCAGGCTTTAGAGCGCATTAGTACGTATTGCATTAAAAATATCAAGGACTGAAAATACTGTCTTTTCATACTTTCACACTTTTGGTGTAATGTTTTGCCCATTTCAGACCACGTGTCATTCTCTTGAGAATACGGAAGATTCTTTGTTTGAGTTATAATCATATTCATGTGTCGTCTCATGTGCAACCGTTAAACAAAGAAATGATACTCTATGAAATGACACGTGGATCTGAATTGGCAATCTGAAATGATTTTCCGAGCGCGCGAAAGATTCCAGTAAATGAGCCTTTTCATAGTTTAAGAATCGATTCCACTGCGCATGCGATTTTATCCCGAATTTCTCATCTTCTTTTTTCTAAACCTTCTTTTGTTCTTAATTAAACAAAAGAAAGGTTAGAAATTCGGGATAAAATCGCATGCGCAGTGGAATCGATTCTTAAACTATGAAAAGGCTTATAGGCGGCCTACCTTGACGGGAAAGTAGTAAGACCTGAATGACAGATGATCTCGACCAACTAAAGATGGATGCTCTGATCTCAAATGCATTTCAAGATGCTGGAAGAAATCGATATCCTGAAATAATTGAACAGTATTAGTTTTCAAGGGTCTTATTTAGCTAGGCATGGGTTAATACTTGAAATACTAAGCCCTAAACAGCACATGCCAATGTCAACAGCACTGCGGTGGCATGGCGAGAGGCCAGAGTTTTGGCGAACAGCACGCGCGTAGCTTTGGCGAGAAAATGTTACCCAAAACCAAAGGAACGCCATGAATATAATCTATGTAGAAGCGAATTCAGTCGTAAAACTGATTTTTCTAAACATTTTGAATTTTGAAGATGAATATTACGGGTAGAAGCATATTGAAATAAGACGACGTTTCGGTGTCCTCATGACAGCATCATCAACTCAAAATAAAATAAACAGATTTTGAATTTTATCAAAAATCAAAAATCAAACGAAAACATTAATTTTAGGAGTTATCTCTTCTCTCTAATTCGTTGCAGCGCGACACGTAATGCGCATGCGTTCTTGATATAATTCTCCATTTGTCCGCCGATCTTCCGATCATGCGCAGTACTTTTCCCATACGGTTCCAAAAATACAATACATGCATCATGAGTTCCGCGCCACTACCCTATGCCTATGCTCAAGGGGTCAAAAAGTGGGATCATGGGTTATTAAAATTTTGGTATATTTGATTTGGAACAAGACCCTGGTGGCAGGGTAGAATGGGTTACCTGGTTGGGGCGGTTTACTAGTATCAGAGTCTCTAAGAATCTAACGGAGAAGTGAAAATAAGCTGCGAAATTTCGAATGACAATGTTGATAGCGGTTTAAGGCAGAGCGTTTATGCCATACTGATCAAAGTCATCGAATAACTCAATCACCAATTTTATGAATGGTTTATCACAGGTAACCCGTTAATTAGCTTAACGCTACTTGCTCTTGAATATTTAATGTAAATTGTGCTCGATAAGAAAAATACAATTAAAATATAGCAATTTTCACATCCCATGATTCCTTTTTTGACCCCTTGAGCATGCGCTTAGAGCAGTAGCGCAGAAATTTTGATGCATGTCTACTAGGAGATACGAGCCAAATGAGAAAGTAAGCACAACTGTCATCCCACATCAGCGTCCAGATATGTCATGTCACATAGGGACGATCGTTGAAGGATTTTTGCTCTAGCATGTCTCTGGGCTCTGAGGACACGAGGTCAGACCACAGAGCAATCCTGTTCAACATGCCTTACGGTTGAAGAGCACGTTTCTTTACTTAAAGAGAGGCTTTGCAAAATCACGTGATGGCAGTCAAGACAGGAGGAGGAACGATTGAATTTAGTCTAGTCTAATTTACAAAAGAAAGATTTTCGCTTCCCAGGAAAAAAAGACTATTGTTGTGCCCCCTGTCATGGCTGCCATCACATGATGGTGAAAACTTCTACAGACCATTTTCCTTTTGGCGTGTAATTCTCCATTCCCAACGTGTTGGAAACTAGAGACTTATTAAGTCTCAATTTACAATATGCAATGAACCAATAACATCGCGCGAGATCATTGCTTATCCAATCAAAGTGCTCGTACGCGACACCGTCACGGTCACGGTCACGGTCACGGTCAAGACCACGATACAGAATTTACTATTTACAGTGAACCAATCACAATGCGCGGGATCACTGCTTGTCCAATCAACGTGCTTTGACACTGCAACGTCACTGTCACGTCACGTCCGTACTGTGATTTTACGAAGTGATATAAAATTAGCTCGATAAACCCCTTGTAGTTGTCGGAATGCAGCTCAACAAAATGTTTTCAAATCTCATGAGATTTAAATTATTTTCTTTTGTCCTCCAAATTTAGCTGTTTTGACGTCACATGCAAAGTTATTACTCGAAGCCAGAATAGCGCGCTTCCGAGATACAGTCAATTCAAAAAACGTTGTCGTCGACCGGCTCAAGCCTACGCGACTGGACCGAAAGAAATATGRGTAAAATTCACTGAAGCGGTTAAATATTCGTTCTGAATTAATTGTTCCCGCTAGTAGTAAAGATAATAATGGAGAGAAACAATTCAATCCGTCAAATGCATGTCTTCGGGTTTAGAGAAAGAAAAATAAAGTAGTTATGATTCAGTTCACAATTCCGAAAATATGAAGGCATTAAAAAAACGTCTTCTTCAACACTTCCTGCACGCCTACGAAGGTTCGTGTTTTAAACCAGGCATAACTAGTCAGATAAAATTATGGAGTCAACTCGGCTTCAATGATTACTACCCAGAGTTCCTTTCGGTCCAGTCGCGTAGGCTTGAGTTGGTCGACGACAACGTTTTTTGAATTGACTGTATGCTTCGCTTGTCACGCACAAAGGTTTCAGTACGAGGCTACGTGCTAATTGCTCAGTCATTCGTGACAGGCGGTAAGAATAAATTTAATTTAGCACGTAGCCTCATACTGAAACCTTTGTGCGTGACAAGCGAAGCATATCTCGGAGGTGGGCTATTGGAAAAACATTACGCCTGAAGTAAAAACGTCTCTCACTTGTCTTTCTCGTTTTCAATAACACGTGCAGGATGATCGTCGCAACAAAGTAGATTTTGGAATGTGGACGTTTATTTTTGCGGACGGATAAAGAAAGAGAACCAACGAGTAACTTACTGTGCGGACGCACTAACCGGAACCACTTAACTGACCAATCACATAACAGTAAACTAGACAGAGATTGAACTGATAACAGTGTTAGCCAATCAGATTATCGCGTTCTCACGCTCTTACAATATCGATGCGCTATCTGATTGGCTGGTCAAAATTATTGTACTAAATGTCGCAATATGATTGGTTAATGATACTAGTTTATCGAAGTAGTCCCGGTTGAAGTATCCGCACAGTAACTTACATATGTAAGGACGTGTAACCCACTTTTTCGCGACAGTAAATTGAACGATTCAACAGTTCAATATTGATATCTGTAAGATGTGTAGGCATTACTTACCTCTCGTGATGCAAATGGTACCAGCATACCGATCCCCCCTGATAGTGTAGTGTAAACGAGAGATTCGGACCCCCCTGGAATTAGGGTAGCTTTTTGTAGAGACAGAACAGTCTCGCCAACATAATAATTACACAGGGCCTCCAACTGAAAATACATCAAAAGTACATCACTGATGATTAGAAATGTCAATATACAAGAATGACGCGTGGTCTGAAGTGGGGAAACATAACGTCCAGACAGAGCAGAAAAACGACAAGGCTGCTACTTTCGCAATTTTTTTCTTTATTTCTCATTAAAAAACGTTTAGTGTTTCATTCGTGTCTCTTGTGCTTTAAACTTTTCACAAAATTCTACTAACCTCGAGCAATTCTACTTCGAGGTATTAGCAAAAATGTTAGTTTTTGTGCTGATCAAAATATCATCTCTCCCAACGTTCAGGGCGTTATATCTCAAATACGCATTCCTTAAATTTCCCCAAATTTTGGTATTTTGTTAATCAGCCCCAAAAGAAGCTGTTGATGAAATATAAAGCTTATTAACGCATAAGCATCGAAAGTAGAACCCGTTTTTCTGTCCTGTCTATCGTCCAAGCTAAAAAAGTTAATTATGTGATAGAATTATTGCCCGCTAATTTGACCTCTGACCTCTCTCGCCATGGAGGCATTCCACATTTTCAATTGTCACTCAACTGTCTCATTCCGACACGGAAACGTGCCGGAAAACCCTTCACTTCGGTAGGCGTTCAATGACTTCAGACTTGAACCCATTTGAGGAGGGTCAATGAAGAGGTCGAAAGCTAGGTGTTTCCTCTTCCGCCAACCCGAAGGGATTTGTCGCTTATTCAAGCAAGATATAAGGTCGATATCCCATCTTAAAACTTAATTTGAGCATTTAAATCGAGCGAATTACTATGATCTGCCTAATTACGAGTAAGTCCACAATGCACTGAAAGGGCACAGGTTAACAGGGCAGAAAAACGGTTTTTGGCCTTTTGCCAAAAGGACAGCTTAACGTATTTAAGCTCAATATTTTGTAAACACGTTCTTTTGGAGCCAAACAGCAAAATATCAAATGCGACCAAAATTTATTGAATGCGTATTTGAGATATATAAAGCCGTGTACTTTGGGAGAGGTGATATTTTGATCAGCAGAAAATCTGACATTTTTGTAAATACTAAGTAGATTTACTTTTTGAATTCGACAAAATTTCGTCACAAGTTTCGAGCAGCAGTGACATAAATGAAAGGCTTAAAAATTTKGAGTATTAAACTCCGTTAAATAAAAAAAATCGTGAAAGTAGCAGGCTTGTCGTTTTTCTGCCCTGTCGCACAGGTTAGTGACTTCGCTAAAGGCAGTTTGATTTATTTTTATTTTTTTAAAAGGTGATGAATGATAATAAAGATGATGATGCCTGATGGTGAAGGTGAAGGTGATGACAAGTAAATTTAAAATAGCTTGAAAACTCACCTTTTGCTGTGCGCCATTAAGCAAGCCGCGATCCCAGAATGCCTTATTTCCCGTGGGATCTTCTTCAACATCATCACTTGAGCCTGCCGATAATCGAACCTACCAACCAAAATGTTCTGACTTAAAATAGGTCATCTGTATTATAACGTCATGTGCTACAACTACCAGGATCCCTTGCACACATTAGCATAGCTGTTACACGGAGTGTACTTATAACAAAGTACCTCGACAACTAATTCTTTGTTTGTACGTTACGTGGTCGCGGCCATGTTGGTACTACCATTTAACAAAAGATTTCTCATTAGCATCCATTGTTAACGGTACCACAATGGCCGCCATGTTTTTGTCTTTTAACTCTCTTGGGAATGTTTGCAACCCATCAATACACTCCATCGGCTTGGGCGTAATGTCGTCCTGTTTCAGATCACGTGTCATTCCCTTGAGAATGAGATTCTTTGTTTGAGCTGTATCCATGTGTCTTCTCATGTGCAACCGAGTACAACCGTTAAACAAAGAAATGATACTCTAGGGAATGACATGTGGTCTGAAATGGGAAAACGTTTTGCCAAAGCCGAAGAGGTTTATTGACGGCAAATGGCCTCGTCAGATTCAGATTGTTTGTGATTCAGAATAATTTTCGTGAGTGGTCAAACAGGTTAAAATCCTCTCTGTTGTAGGAATAGGGGCAAAATTAATGAAAAGTAAAGTAAAGTAAAGTAAAGTAAAGTAAAGTAAAGTAAAG